AGCAGCCCTTGTTCGCAGGGGCTGGACATAGACAGGGGCTGATGCCAGAGCAGCCTCTGCCCCCAGCCAACGTGGGCCACCGCCAACAGGGGCTACTGCACCCAGCGTGAGCTGGGACCAAGCAGTCCTTGCTCTCACCACTCTGGGTCTGCTGCAGCTCTGTGTGTTAAATGAAGTAAGAGCTTTTAGTACATGTATAATGCAGAGCAGTATTGGTCCTAGCTTGCACTGGTCTGGGAGCTACCCCTGCTGCAGCTATCCCTCCCTGCGCACCTGGCTCCTATTACATTTAAACTGCAGAGCCACAGCGGGGATAGGACCTGGACCAAAACAAGCTGGGACAGAGCACCTTGCCTTATCAATTAATTGTGTAGGTGATAAAGATTCTCAACTACACCAGGGGTCAGCAACCTTTCTGAAGTGGAATGCCAAGATTTAATCCTCCAGCCCTGGGCTGTGCTGCTCTCCCAGGGGAGAGGGGCTCTCTCTGCTGTGGGCCTGTGGACTATCTGGGTCAATGCAGACCTTTCCGCAGACTACTGGTTGCTAATGGAAGCTCACCATTAATTACATAATTATTACCATGCCATTTTGCTAGTGCTGCAGCTGGGGAGAATGATTTGCTTTAAATGATTCAACAGATGAAGGGTTTTAACTCTCATTGGCAAGTCAGCATGTTGTGGCTGGAATTTCCCCACTGACTCAGTGGTTAGAGCAAGCCACTAACAGGGCACTGGGCTGGGGAATGGGAGGGTCTGGACCCCCCTGCTGGGGGATGTAAACCTTTCCCCTATTTATTGCCCCTTAAATAAATTCTGACAATTGGGACTATTGAATGGTGTTGCCCTGCCAATGGGGGCTAGATATAGATTCTGACCAGGGGACTACAGGGAAGGAATACCCAGGCTTCGGTGTGTGAGATTAGAGACACTGCCTGGGGAGAAAGGGGGCAAATATAAGCATGACAGGTGCAAAATGGGCACTCACCCCACCCTGGATGGGGTCTTCACCTCAGCCGTGTGACAGAGTTTGTTGCATAAAGAAACCAGGCCATTTTTTCATCAGCTATCTCTTTTTTGTAATCTGCTTATTCTTATCATAAACTTATCTATGATTGTTGCTGGATGATGGAGGCGTTTTTTCTTTCTGCTACAGATGATATACTGTGGCTGAGACCTATATGATGTGACTGAAACACTACCATTGGCAGATAACTCTAATAGATAGAAAATGATAGTGATCTTGAAGGTGGATAGTCTTCAGAATGTTGAGGATGGGTTCTGCTAAACAAAATAAGTCAATGCAGTTATTTAATTATATTGCCATACTGCTCATTTAGTATTACTCATTGCATTCACTGGCACTCAGTACTACTTTAAAGGTGAAATTGAAAAAGGAAGATTGATCTATTTTTCACTATTGATCACAACTGCATAAAAATGATAGTACCATAGAGTAACAACTACCTTTTTTGTTCAATAATGTGAATTCAAGAATAGTAGAGAAGGAAGATAAGCAGTCCTTGAAGTATGAACTACAAAAATTACCCACCTGAAGATCCTGCTTGTTCAGACCTGTTCCTTTCATCTTTTTCAACCTAGTTTCCTCCTGAGAAGGAACACTTCTCATGATGTTGCATTTGGGCAACCAAGGTATTACATTTCTTTGTTTGACTTCTTCATTTTGCATGAGTGCTTCTCTTAACCAAAGGTAGAGGAATTTCATTAAAATATTTCCAAGCTGGGTCTCTTCTACAGTCTGCTGCCACTATAGGTTTTCCCTTCCATAGCATGGTAGATCTCCAATCAATGAAGGCTACACTCAGAAAGACCTCAAGACTTCTGGAATATCCTGCTCAAACAGTTGCACTTTTGTTTCTGTTGCCTGTCCCTCCCTTCTCACATGTATTTCCAGACTTCTTCTCCTTGTCCAGATCTATTAAACCCCCCCAATAATCTCCTATGCATTGAACTTTTTGGAACTTTGCACTTTGAGAGTGTGTCTACACTGCACTGTAACTTGAAATAAGATACGCAATTTTCATAGCTCTAATTGCGTATCTTATTTCAATACTGTTTTGAAATAGCTTATTTTGTCATTTGCACCAGATTTTTAAACGTCCCTTACTCCTTGTAAAATGAGGCTTACAGGGACTTTGGAATAGCAAGCCTGAAATAACAGGCTTGCTGTGAAGAGGCAGGTTAGCTATTTTGACATACTCTGATTATTTCCCGATTCCAGTGAGGAAATAAAAAATCTGGTTTAAATGTTAAAACACATATTTTTAACTTTTATAAAATAACTGTTTTTTAGCCCCCTCCGCCCCTTGAATAGATGAATGGGCAAAGCAAAACTTATTGTCAGTATGGATAGCATCTAAATCTGATATGCAACTGATGAGGAAAAAAGACGAGTTCACTCTCCATCATTTCTACATATTGGGAAGTCAAGCTATACATTTTTTTAGTAGGGGAATATTTTGGTGGCTGTTTCCTTGGAAGTGCTGAGCTAAAAACAGAAGAGAATGGGGGAAATAAGCTGTTTTCTCACATCACCCAAGAACAGTATTTAAGAAATACACAATGTCCAAAGGGGACTATCATCGCTTAAACAATCCCCCAGGATAGTTTAAAAAAAATGAAGGCCACAGCCCTATTGTACAGTTATAAAAGCTCAGTTAGGCACTCTTAACAAAATGCAAGGGATCTAAAAGTATCCCACAAGGCAGTAGGAGGGATGATAATCCCATTGACTACACGTGCCTCTCTCCCCCCACCCCCTTGCC